ACCATTTTGGGGAAAGAATTTGTTAGTTAGTGGGGTGTCATTTGATTTTAGAAGCTCAAAAGTTGGGATTAATTTTTTTTTGGTTGGGGCGTGGGGCAAATTCTGCAAGATGCAAGCATGATGATGATTACTTGAAACTGGGAAATCAAATATTGGTTTGGTTATTTTTGGATGATAATTGTACTTTAATTAAGTTTTGATTTGATTATTGGGATAATTTCAGAAACCTCCCTGAGCTTTCTGATTATTGCAGGAAGCTTCCTTCTAGTTTAAAAAATTATACCTACCTCCTCTATGATTAGCATTTCAATAACAATATAGACCCAATATGCTAACTTTCTCCTCAAAAATCCTAGAATACCCCTTTGTTACTTAGAAGGGGAAAAACAAACTAATAAATTTCTTTCAGTTGCAACTATTGTAAATGACATAACCACTACTCTAGAAAATTCAATAAAACACTTCACCTTAATTCTCATATTCTTACAATTTTGACAGCCTACTATTGCTGCTCCAAAGCTTCCCATGCAAATCAACTATGACAATTAAAGTCTGCATTCAATCTAATATTTAGCCTCATTTTTTTTTTTTGACTAAATTCAATATTTGAATTGACCAATGTCACTGTTCAACCTTGTTGGTACTAAAATAATGTAATCTACCAAGAATACCAATACGGAGCAACCAAAAACAACACTAGAGACCACATCCCATGTCTCTAGGCAAATCTGATTATAGTTTTTATATCTCAAAATTCTTTTTTACACAATTGGTATAATATCATAACCTTATTTAATTCGCATTCCCTTTTTAGCTATCATTTTTAGTTTCTTGTATATACTCTGTATCACCGCCATCTTTTTCACCTTCATTTAATTTGACAACAAATATGATCCGGCAACTTGTCATTTTGTATTCAATTCAATAATACTTATAAAAAAGAGAAAACAGAAAAGAGAGAGTGTGTCTATTTGCGAAAAAAGAGATGCAGGAGAAAGAAGGTAAGAGAAAGAGTCAGAGAGATAGAACAAGAGTTTAGTTTGTGTGGCAGCAGTTGCTTTAGAACAAAAGACTAGTTGTAATTGTAGAGTTTTTTTGTTTGTAGGAATTATTTATAAGTGAAGGATATTATAGTCATTTTACTACATGAGGGGAGGTTAGTGTAATTATTCAAACCTGAAGGGAGGTAAGTGAAATTGTCAGAAACCTCAGAGGAGGTTTCTGAAATTATCCCTTGATTATTAGAGTGCCCATACCTTGGAATAACGAGTAAGTATTGCAATGTAAAAACATCTCACAGCAATGTGTTCTTGTATGTTAGGGATGAATTATTTCTTACTAACCATACTTGTTGAAAATTCATGGTATGATGTATAATCTGATGTTTAGCAATCCCTTGGTAGATTATTATGAATTTCTGATTTTGTTAGAAATTAATTGGTAAGTGGAAAGTTTCTTGTTCATACATGCTTTTGTAATTGGAAATTGAATGCAGCTCGAAGGATAATGGTTTTGTTTCTCATCTTAGAACCCTCATGAGGGTTGGATTTTTACTGTTCATATACCCCGGAGGCAGAACCAAAGAAGCAAGTTAGGCTTAATTAGATGAGATGTTGCATGTTATTTAAAGAAAGTTCTAGCAATTATCACAACGTCTGAAAATGTGAAATATGACAGGGCAGAAGTTTAGAGGCATTTGACAATGTTAGTGGAGGTAATCACCTATTAGGGTTTGGCACCAAAGTCTTTGATGTTCCCCACCACACCCTACTTTGTGAAACTTTACTGAAACCATAAAATGGCTTCAAGTCCCTGTTGCAAAAAACCTATCTCAGCATCTTCTGAAATTACAAAACTTGCCTTCAAGTTCAAAAAATCTAATATAAACTGGGATTAATGATTAAGTGACCCTCAAATACATCAATAGAAGCAGCTAAAATATCCTGGAGTCTGTCATTTTCTGAGATTCCCGATAGTCCCTCATTCTTCTCTGTGTCCTGCATCACCATTCTTTTTTCTGGCATTGGATCCTTTCTTCTTTCATGCTGCCCTTGTCTTTCCACTTGCTTATTTGCTGTTCTGCTTTCTTTTACTTGCTCTTGGAAAACCATTCTTTTTTCTGGAATTGAAACTTTTCTTCTTTCATTTTGCCCTTATCTTTCCACTTGTTTATTTGCTGTTTTGCTTTCCTTTACTTGCTCCTTTTTAGGCATTGGATCTTTTCTTCTTACTGTTCCACTTGAACAGTAATGTCATACTATGCTGTGTCATCTCATTCAACAGTCACTTCAATTGGAGCTATAACTCAAAGTTATTGAACAATGCAGACAGTACATTTTATTTGAACAAATTGCTAGGCTTCTGAGATTGCTATCCATACCATCTACAATTATGTTCCTAACTGTCCTTAGCTTAAGTTGTTAGCTCATTCGTTCAGTCATTAATTAGCCTAATAATTTGAATTTGATTATCCGTTGGCTTTTTATTATTATTATTTTGATGGTTAAGTTTCCTCAATTCTGTGGGGTTGAAAGTAATATGGGATTCTCTTTCAACTGTGTTTTCTCCCTTTTTATCCTTTCTTGGTATATAATGCACCTGGTCCATTATGGCTCAATTTGGTTTTTGGCAAATAGTATAGGTTATCTTTCTGCCAATTAGTATTTAATAGCTCAGAAAACAAAGTTTTTGCAAATGGAAATACAAATCAGATGATTACTTTCCCCTGACCAAGTTTTTAAACTTGCGTGTACAAAGGCTATCTTTGGTGGGAGATAAGATAATAAGATATCAGAATCGCAAGAAAGGTACAATTTGTATTTTGCAGAATTTTGAGTGGAAATATTGTAAGAGAAACTGAAAGGCATTAGATTTTTTACTAGAAACAATTTAGGTCCAAGGTGATGCTAAGTTCACCTAGTTTCACGGAATTGGTAATAGGTAGTTTGTGCAGAATTCTGTTGACTGGGTGGTGTATAGTTTCAGTGTCAAATGACGTATTCTCAAGCATTTCTAATTAAGAGGTAAACATAAAAGCAAGACCGTTTTCTGTCATCTCTGAATAGGGAATGGGTGTATAACATGGGCATATGCATGTACCTGATATTTGTAGTGCTGTTATGTTGTGCTATTTCTTGCTTTTTCCTCCCTTTTTTCCCCTTCTTCCTCCAGCCCATTTTTTCCTGAAGGAAAAATAAGTTTAAGAGCGACTACGAATTACATATTATAAGTAAAGTACCCAGAGTTTTGACTTGTTTTAGCAACAGGCTGCTAAGGAGTTTGAATCTGAACTGAAAAAAGAACCTAAATCAGCTGCAGAGCCTTCTGCTGAGAAGGTCCAAGCAGTAAGTGATGAAGGTGGACAAGATGCTGAAGTCAAGAGTATTAAGGAGAGTTGATAACTTTGTTAACATGTTCTAGTACTGTTTAGGTACTTGGCTCCAGCTACTGGTTTTGTTGTATGTGTGACATCATCTCAAGAGTCAGATGAGTTGTTCAATCATATTCTCTATTTATCAGTTATATTTTTTGTTTCACGTTCAAAGTCATGGACGGAAAACTATTAGGGCAGTTATAAATCACTTAGCCAGGATATGTTTTCTTTTTTTTTTTTTAATATAGTTGGATTGCCAAAGCACAGATGAGTTAGGTAGTATTATCATTCCTGTTTCACCTTGTACGTATTATCATCCCTGTTTCACCTTATACGTGCTGCCAGTTAGATGCGTTTCAATCTCAAAAATATGGACCACAATGTTAGATGATTTTAGTAAAAGCTCTCGCATGTCTCACTGCACCTCTAGTGGCTGTTTTTCATCCGTGCGCAATTAAGTGCAGTGATAATGAGCTTTTGTATTATGAGATTCTGGAATTGATAAAAAGTAAGAATTTGTATAGTTCTTTGAATATATGAAATGCTGAAATTAATTTTTTGGATAAGGCATTAATTCTGCAAACCAGCTGGTCAAATGCAACTAAAGAATGTAAAGTTACTCGGTTGTGGGATTGCAATCGCAAGACAAACAATCATGTCTTCCTTGGCTTTTTTTTTTGGTCATGGTAAATTCTATTTTACACTTATTTCTATTTTACACTAAGGGGAAGGGGTGGATTCAAGGTGGTCAATAGGGAATTCGGAGAGGACTAAATTGCCACCAGACAACACAGGTGTTTTTGCATCCACTGGTGAAATTTTCACGAAATTCTGGACAAGAATGCTCATGATTTTCCAGGTGAGCAAGGACAATGCAACTTGTAAACCAATTACTCCGAGTAGTTGGCCATCAAGAAAAGATTTAAAACTCTCTTGGAAATTTCACCAGCGGGTGCAAAGGCATCCGTTTAGTTCAGTAGCGGTTCAGTCCATTTCAGTTTTTCCATTGACTCCCTTAGGTCCACCCCTTCCCTTTAGTGTAGAGTAGGAATAGATGTAGAATGAAATTTATCGTTTCCAAAAAATATATATATATATACAACGTAACTTTATGGAATACTCAAAGGGTAATGCTGCGTATAACTTCATGGAGTTAGTCTTGCGATTCAAAAGCCAGAAACCCAAGTTAGAAGAGCATATTTGCAGTTGAGTCCATTAGTGAACCAAAATTTTTTACTGCTACAATAACTATACACAGTCAAGTTGGAACCATAATTGTATTAAGACGTGGTGGTGAGCAAATGTATTGGATGAACTAGAATATGTCGTACAGAAGATAGATTGGATCAAAGAATAAATTATAGCTCCTCATAGGGTAGGCTAAGAAGGGCAGGGTACAGGTTTCACACGATAGGGTGTATAGTCTACAGTCAACTGGTCACTAACCATGCTCGCTTCTACCGTATAACCTACAAAATCTTTGAGCTTGACACTATTCCTCTGCAGGACTAGATTAAGGCCTCATTGACATCAATACCCCAACTTTTTTGCTTAACAAACAAATCATTTTTTGCTTTAAAAATGTGGCGTTACATATTAGTTCAATAATTTAACCGTTGGGACAATATTTTCTCAAAAAACCTAAAGAATTTATACCACAATAATCTACATTTTAACAGGATGATACTTTCTGTCCTTGTGCTTCCATCAAATTATACAACAATTTGCAGCAGGACAAATTTTGTACAAACATTGAAGTTTACCTGTACAACGGGAACCACCAAGTGGATTTGTCCAGTTAGCTGAACATGCAATAATACAAAGTTCTAAATGCTCCTACTAGATAAATTCCAATCTGCATTCCTAAATCAAAATTTCTTGTGTACCATCACTCAAGTTTCTCCTGCACCAGCTAAACAGTAGCATTGCTCGACTCAACAACGCATGAGAGGAATAGCACCACAATATACATTCTGCTAAAAGGGTCAATTGCATCCTGTCTGGTCATGTTGTTCCAATGGTGCCAGCACCACCGCTGCCCTCTCTCAGACCTTGAAGGCAACCATGCAATGTTCTTTGTACACTATCGGCAACAACTCTCAATCTTCCCTGATTACCATCTCCGGCTGAAGATCCATTCACGTCCATAGTGCGGGTTACCCGCTGCTTACATTTTTCCCACTCATCAACTCTCAGCCAGCATGCCCGACCTCCATGGCTTCCCTCCATCCCCAGGAAAGATACATTAGGATTATCACCAAATGAGTATCTCAATCTCACAGAAACACAATAAGGAAGCCAAGCAGCACCACCAGCAGCATTTATATGTGGTATGTGAGCAGGATCAAGAACAACAGTCAGTGCAAAATCAACAGCATTATGTGCTCGATCATAGTGAATATTGCTTTTAGATACAGAGGAACTTTCATTTTTTCCATCCATAGTAAAGCCTGCATGATTCTCAAGACAAAGTTCAATGCGGGATTTTTGAGCAGGAGCCAAATCTCCACCTGGAGATGGAGCTAAGCCTTTCTTCCACGCAATGAGTTTCAAAAATTCTCTTAAAACCGAAATTGGTAGAGTTAATAGCGTAATGAATGAAGCAACACGAGAAGCATCATAGGGCTCCGATGCAACGCGACGACTAAAGTAATCGCATATTTCACTTATTTCAGACGGAGTCAATTCATCCTGAGCAGTTGCTGAATTCTGCTGCTGCCGCTGGGAATGGTGAAATCTAGTTACACTAATAACTTGGAGAAGAAGTTGAACCCTGTGTACACTAACAGCAAAAACATAACCCCTGTTGCAAAACATCAAGTCAATGTTAAGAACGCAAGCAAGAAAAATAATTATAAATCAATAAAAAATGCCATCAAGAAGCTAACTGCTTTTTATCAAACACATTATGCCATCCCTTTCTCAGCATAACAACCACATGCATGCACGACAATATAATAGTCAACACGAGAACCAGAACAAAGCCCGTCTCAAAAATATTGAAGAAACCACTCGTATTCATGGTACAAGGGATTGTATTCTATGGAAAGTATGACACTTATATCCAGGAAATACAGACAAGCACCCTTCATGTTTTGTTTGCAAGTGTGGAAAGTGAAGGAAATTTTTTTTTTTTTTCCCTTAGTGTGTTTTTGTAAGCCAAGGAAGTTCTAACCTCACTTTCCTGGATATGGTGTCCTGCAAAATCTGCAGGATTTTGGAGGAAATTTGTTCATTACACACAATAGACTCAATACCACCAGTAACTACCCATTTTATCACAAAAGCTTTCTACTCAAACTAACTTTCACAAGAAAGTGGTTTTCTTGTTCCTATAATTCCTTCACTTTCCCACATGACTTTCCTCTGATTATCATAACGTATTAAGACCATTATGCTTGTACACATATGCCAAATTTCTTTGTAGACCATGAAATTAGATCTGTCAAATCAGGACAAAGCTCCGTTGGGATTTTTTTTTTTTTAATCAGGCATCAGTCATCTGTCCCTGAATTGCAAAAAAAAAAAAAAATCATCTTTTTCAAAAATGATACCATATAAATTGAAGTAAATATGTTTGGATAATGGTTAACAGTTCAGCTAACTCAAAGTTTGACTGCAACTACTTAATTTCATAAATTACCCTATGTTGATTGACGATCACAAAGAATTGGCCAACTTCAACATTTGCAGTCTAGAACATTGAAGGACTAAATGTTCAATAGAATACTGATACTAGTACATGACATTTAACACAAACAGTAACGAAAGAATTACATAATTGATTGTCTAAATAGTAGAAAATCCACAATTCACCATGTGCATTCTGCATCATACTCAAGGCCTCTTTTTTTTTTTTTTGGTGGTGGGGGGGGGGGGTCCTTTTTCCTTAAAATTTCTGTGTCTGGACCTTATGATTATGTCAGAGTGATAAGGAAGAAGAATCGACATCATTCCACAGGTAAATACCATGCAACAGAAGATTCATGAATTTTAGAACACAAAACCTTCCTTTTTTAGAAGCCAAATCAATTTTCTAAGTAGTTTCCATGCACAGAGCAACAGCAAGGAGAAAAGTAGAGCATAGTAGGAGGAGAAGAAGAGAGCAAACAACAGCTACAAGGGAAAGAGCAGAGCACAGTCCAAAACTTATTAAAACAGTTTTATCTTAAAAGGAAAAAAAAAAAAGAACATAAGAAAGAGAAAGAAAGATCGAAAAGAGTATGTTCAGAATATAAAGCAAGCAGAGGATGCCTGTGTGCGTGCAGGGGCAAAAGAAGAAAAGAGTAGCAGGGAAAACCAAGAACAGGGAGCAAACTTTGTAGAAGACAGAAAAGGAAATAAAAAACAAAGGAGATGCATAAGGAAGCCAACAGCAGAAGAGAGAACAAGAAGAAAACAGGAGGTTACAAAGGTCAGAAAGAGCAATCCAGGACAGAGAAAAGGAGCAGTTTAATGACTGTCCACAAAAAGTTGGAAGATACATCTACATGCATTTCCAAACTATGTGGGTCAATGCGCGTCAGGCTTTAGAACCCGAAGTACGTGGATTACACAAAATACTTCTGCCTAACGTGATTTAGGGATTTGACTGCATGTCTTCATATTAGAATAATCTGGTGTGCTTCCATTGCTACACACATCAGGTTAATAAAATAAAAACATGAACAAATGTCAATAAACCACCATGTTCTTACCCGATAAAGAAGCGTAATGCTGGTTGCTCCTGATCCAAATTCAAAAGTGCACCTTCATTATCCTTTAGGATTGAACCGAGGATCTCTTTCAAAAGCTCTGGTAACTGTGCAAATAGCCACAACACTCCCAGATATTTGAGAATACCTCGAAGAACCTTCTTGAGGGCAACAAGAGGGACCCATCCACCCCCATAACCTCCATCATCCCCAAGCCCAATAATGGCTGTATTCAGTTCGCCTCTTACATGAGCAGGTACACCTGTGCCAGGAGATCTGCGTAATGGCAACCCAGAGTTTGCTGCAGCTAAATTTGATCCGGCAGGAACAGCATTTCCCATGCGATTTAGACCAGAAACAGCATTTGCTGACCGAGATATTCCAGCAGAATTTGCGAGATTGGTTCTGTTTCCATTGGAGGCTGAAAGCTGTGAAACTGTACTTGGATTTGAACTACTACCATTGGCTAGAACAACTGTTTGTTGACCACCAGCAAAACTGGAATCTATGCCATTCAATTCCTGAGCAACATGCTCCATTATAAAGGGCCGGAATTGTGGACATGGAAGTGATCCTCCAACAGACGGTCCCCCTTTGGGTGGCGTTGCAGGTTGCAACCAAACCTGATCTCCGGCAAAACATCGCATGTCAACAGCAAAATTTTTCCGATATATAATCCGTATCCAGTAGGGACCACGGAGTACTACAGAGACATCAATTGGCAACAATGAACTAGGAACAATGCCAGGACCACCTCTCCCAGCGGCAGCGGCAGCTGCAGCTGCCAACATTGCAGTAGTATGAGGATTTTGAGAAGCAAGAGGACCTGAAGTTACAGAGGCAGAAGCATTTCCTGCGGGAACAGATGCAGCCTGACTAGCATTGGGTGTTGCAATGCTTGGCAGCTGACCCTGAGACGGAACATATCCACTCTGTCTTGACATAGAGGAGATAGGTGCTGCAACACCAGAAACTCCTGAAACAGGAGCAGCTCGTGCAGGACGTGTGGCAGCAGCAAGAGCCTGTAAGGGTCCAGCAGTCAGTCGTATACAATCCAAAAGTGATGCAACTTCAGCACCATTGATGAAATCTTCCAAAAACTGCATAGAAAAAAAAAATCAAAGTTATGAAGGCTTTTCCTGATCAAATGCAAAATAAAGCTAAAAAGTTTAAATTATAATGGAAAACATGATAAAAAGATACATATATAGGGGACAGGAAAATGAGCACGGTGATCAAAAGACAGTCTTATAAGAAGAGGAAAGGTATTGGTCTCAATAAAACCAAACATTCGAAGCCCAAGTAACATACACAGACAAGTTTATCAAGTGCTATAATAAAAGAGGAAATAAAAGCAAAGACAAACAAGAATTTGGACCAGAGACATAGTCACAGGTGCACACACACCTTGGTGTGGGGCCAAAGTTGGTCAGGAGAAACATGCATTGTGCAGCCCTCTTTGCCTGATTCCCATTCAACAACAAAGCGAGCAAGTACTCCAGATCCAAAACTGAACCATAAACTCATGAGTCCAACAGCTTCAATTTTAAATGCCCTCCTCATCTGTTCAGAAAATTTGTCAGCCATGTCTAGTACAGTTTTCACACCACCTGGTGCTTTAACATCAGAGGCAGTAGCATTTTCTTCAAATTTCTCATCTGTCCGTACTCCAAGTAGACTTCGCATTCCAAGGGCAAAGGTTCTAGCATTAGAAAGCCTTTCGATATCGGCTACTAGTTTCCTAATACTATCAGCCTCAACAGAATGGTAACTCAAAACAACACCTTCAGCATCATACCGAATATGAGCATCAACATCAGATGTATTAGCAATACGAACACCAGGACCCCATGGAGAATTACTCATTCCTTTCTGAAGTTCCCACAAGTCCCCGAAGTGTTGATCACAAATTTTCACATCCCAATACATACTTCCAGGTCTCCCCAATCGTAAGCATATATGCTGCCATGTATCACCTCTTGCAAATGGAAGACGAAACCACAAGTTTGAGGATGCACTTCTTAGACCCACTTCTTCAACATATGGAATTTCAAGTGCGTCCATCTGACTGGTTAGTCGGGCATGCTTAATACAAAGTGAGCAGTGTCTGACCACGTGAAGCAGAGCAGAAACATATATACTAGAGGGTAAATTACCCTTATTTGCTTCAGATATAAGATCTCCATAACTGTATCCCTCAGTTTTTCGAAAAAGTTCTGAGGTAATGAGCATCTGTGAAGTAAGTTGTTGAGGTCTCCATTCCACTATTCTCCTTCTCTTGTAAGATTTGTCATTAGCCTCTAGATGTTGAAGTGATGGGAGAGAGCTCAACAAATCTGTCAGCGTACGCTTTCTTGACATTTTCTCTTGTCGTGGAACAGTATCAAGATTTGAATTCATACAATTGGAATCTGGTGTTTGAGCTGGAAAGGAACAAAAAAGAAGCCCCCTGTTTAACAAGTAATTTATCGAAGAAAATATGTCGAAAGAAACTAATCCTACTAAATAAACATGCACAAAAAAAAAGCAGATGGAAAACTATCACCTAGAAGTAGGTATCTTACATACGGGTGACGCAACCAATGAATTAAATCCAGAAACTCTAAGATTTCCAGGTATAGCATTGCCGGATGAATTTCTAGCTCCAATAGGTTTTGCACTTGCTCCAGAAGCAGGAAGGCCAAGTTGAGGAGAGGGAGACAAATGTCCAGCTGTACGAATTCCGGGAGTTGTTATCTGATGTTCATCGATCAATGAGTAAGACCCAAGTCCACCAGACTGTGGAGACCTCAGAGAGGTCAAATCTTGATCAGACTTTGAGGAGGATAAGTTCTTCACCTGACTTCTTCCAGGGCCAACGGAAATGGAACCAGTAGAACCTGACTGTATCAAGCCCCTATAATGGCTCCCAGTGTAGATGGAACCACTATAACTAGGTGGCATACCAGACAATCTGGTCGGTACCTGTGAACCACCATCCCACTTAGGAGATGGCGTTCCAACTTTTGTAGAATGGAGATTCATGCCTCCAGCACCAAAATGAGATGCAGGAGAAGTACCATATGTTGAACCCAGACTTGGGCCCTGACCAGAGAGATTGGCGGCAGATGACCCTTTCTCCAGCTCAAATATTTCATCCACAATTGATGAAAACTTTGAGGGAAAGCTAGAGGCAAGTGCAGATCCCTCCAAGGTGAATTCAGAAAGAAGACTTTGTTCAGAAGTCCGGTTAGGACTGAGACTAGGTAAAACAGATAGTAATTTTCCACAGTCAAGGAGGCTTAGATTGAGGTCATCTTCACACATCTGCATCTGACCAATATCAACATCTTTTACACGAATGATATTATTCAAGTCGCTAAAAGATTCAGCTTTCCCTGAAGGATCTGGCTGAGTTTCTATTAAGTTAAACAGCGGTTTGAAATCCTTCTCAAGTTGCATCAGCAAATAATAACTCCCACACTCTGGAAAACTCATCAGCAACACACTTGAACCATTTGAAATATTCTTAGGTAACTTCAACGATGCAAAACCACGTTCAAAGACCTGCAATAAAGAGCATGCAATTAACCAGCTTAGTCTTTTGAGTGGTGAAATATAGAATGCGCACTTGGAGGATTAACAAAATGCCAACAAACAAATTAGAAATTCTCTGATTCATTAAATTGGCTGAGAACCATGAAGCACCTCAGGATAGCCATCCAGGATATCTTAACAATGACTTATCGGACTAGTAGAGGACTTGGCATGAGATATCCACTACACAGTAAAAATTGGCCAACCCATAAACAAAACATTTTTTTCTATGAGAAGGGAGAAAAAAAAAGTCAATTCAATTAAAATCACTTCAGATAGAAGCCTTCGTGGAGAGTAAAAATGCCTACATCCAGTGAAATCAGAAGTGTTGCAAGTAGTATGAACCTTTTTAAGGACAAAAGACTCCTATATCTAACAAAAATGCACAAAAATAAAGCAAACAATAGGACATTTTGTTTTTGAACAGAGCAAACAACGGGACATTTTGTTCTGAAATTTTGAATATCCCTTGATATACCAAAATTCTCTTGCATAGTCTGCCAAACAAGTAGCTGTAAATTGGAATATAAACAGTCATTGACGCAAAACATCGAATCAAATAATGTTACCCAGAAAAACTAACATTGTGATAAGAATGGTGAAACATCATTTTCTAAACAACCACCACAGAAAACTTTGAAAATTAACTCCAAAAGAAAGGAACTCCACATATACCTCCAGGCCCAAGGACCTTCCAACACATGCAAACAAGTGTGAAATGCTTTTGCTTCTCAAGCTCATAAAAACTTGTGCAGCAGTCATAGTTCTTTGGTTTAGAGCTTCTTCACACTCCAAAAGTTCAGATGGTGAGACAGTATTCTTAGATGAGTGAAGAAGGAAGCGGCCATTCCTGAAGTTAAGAGCAAGGAACCAAGTTTAGTTCAAGAGTTACCAAAAAAATAAAACCACAAAACTGAAAGAAAAAAAGAAGAGGTGACGAACAGAAGAACTTATATTTCTCCCATTGAACCTTATATTTAATCAACACCAGACAAGAATCACACAACAAAGAAAAAGTGAACGAACTACTACATGATAGTAAAATGAGCCTGTTTAGATGGTGCTTTTGTTAACTGTACATGTGGGTATTACTAAGGAGGGTGGTGGATTAGGAGAAGGGAGGGGACCAGGAAGAGGGAAAAGAAGAGTTGATCGGGATGGCAGGTAAGGGGGAGGAGGGACGAGGGACGAGGGGGGCTGGAGGGCTGAGGAAGGAGGAAGGAGGGGACAGAATGGGCCCAGATGGAAGGGAAGGGGCTGAGGGCGGTGGGTGCGGTTGAGGGAAAGGGGTATTGATGTGTGTTTTTTAGATAGTTTTTAGGGGAGGATTACTTTAGATGTGTGTTTAAGAAGACCTACCTATGTTTTGCCAAAATAGTCCATTTGATCAGAGCCATAATATGAGTTCATTCACATAAGTATTACAGAGTGGTGAAACCATTTTCACCATTTAAAAAAATCAATATCTTAATAGACAAAGGTAAGGAGTAAAAACCTTAAATTTATTCCAAGAGTGAAAAACGATAAGCCGTAGGCACGGACCAACAGAACTTCCTGCCCTTCATCCTTCCTGGAATCAAATTTAGATATGTCCTGCAGAGAATCAGTGCAGAAATGAGTCGTCCATCTTTAAAACCTGAAGAAGACTAAATTCACAATCTGGTAAAAAGACAGGTAGTAAATCATAAATGCCACGCAGAAAAAACATCAAATGGATTGTACTCATTTCTCGTTAAGTTAAACTTTAGTCAATCCCAACTATTACTTTTTCCTTTTTGGTTTTTGGGGGTTTGTGGTGGGGGGGGGGGGGGGGGAGATAATGCACATTATGACAATTAATTTCGCTGACACAGAAGCAAACTTTTGGCCGAAAAAAACAATCAACATCGACTACCAAGTTCATATACCCCCTGGTCCTCAGAACAGAGACACCCAAAATCCAGATGGCAAAGGATGCCAATACCAGAAAGAAGATCCATAAAACACCATGTTATCATTGTAGGAAAAGGACAAACAAACTTTGGTATAACTCCATGACAAGTAGAATATGAAAACTAAAATCAGCAAAGGTTGCATTCTAAGATGAGAGAGGCAACAGATTTGATAACCAAATAACTTGGAAGCCTAAACCAGAAAATTGCACAACTCAGAGTACCATAACCAGACCAAAATAGGTACCAATGGACAGACTACTAGTCAACACTAAAGGCCAATAATAAAAAAAAAAATACATCAAAAATTTTATAATATTTTTTTACTTAAATAACAACACACATAATGCACAAAATCCAACAACAGCCAAATAAACAATCACCAAACAGATTATAAGTACTACCAAATTCACAGTGGACAACCATTGTCTGGAAATGTGACCCCACAATAACCACTTTCTGCTTACAGAAATGTTTTGTTACAAGTTTGTTTCATATTTAGATGCTCTTAATATGATGTCTAGTTAAGTTTTTTCATATCCTAGGATGAAGATGAACTTGCTATAATATTGATTTGAAACAGTTAAGGGATGATTATGCTTTTTCATAATTTGTTAGTTTTTATTTGGCCATCAACTATGAATGATTTAATAAGTGTTGAGCAATGAAAGTTGCTTTCAATAGATCTAAATTCTTAAACATTAAACTTATTCTCACGAAAGTAGTTAAATCCATTAGTTGGATTTATATAATAATTTCATTGAACTTATTTAATTTGTTTCTCACATTTTCTCTATGAAAATAGATGAATAATGATTCAAGAAGTTAAAAAAATTGGTGAAAGCAATTTCTAGAGGAATTAGTCAAGGCGATTTCTCTTAAAATTGTTCATTGGCAAAAACAATGATATACATTTGGAAGTTATTTCTTGACACTTCATGGAAGCATAAGCACAATTAGCCTAGCTAACTTCTAATCTTGACATAACAAGGGATTCTAATTCCTAGGATTCTCTCACTTAATCTTTAAGTAATTCTATCTAACTTGTCTTTACTTTTTTTTTTTATTTTCTTGCATCATACTACCTATGTGGTTGGTTTTACTACCTAATGGTCGATTTTATATTTATTGTTTATGTCATATGGCCAGTTGTACTGCCTAAACTAACTTCTAATTTTTATGATTGGTTATATCATTTAAGCTAACATCTTTCATGGCTGATTTTACCGTTTAATGAACTTTCTCTGTTTTTACCTCCTTAAAATTTTGATTGTTTAGATAATAAAACAAGTGATTAAATTCAAGTGATTGCCAATTTCTAAGTCCCTGTGGATTAATACCAAGTATCTCTATACTCAATAAACGAATCGTGCACCAGTGAAAATAGGATAAAAAGGTTCTAAAATTTATAGTGTTGTAAAAAGCCCTATCAGGAGGCTAGAATACTAATTTCTAATATGCCTAAAAATTCTTAACAATTTAGAAGTTGAGCAATCCACCAAACAAGGCATGTTAATGAAGTTGGCACTTCCGAGTTATAATGACAAATTTTGAAAATGACATCGATGTTTCATCAATTTGCTTTCAGGAATACACAATTAGCAAAGGTTTATGGAGTCTACTCTTCGATAACACATCCTAAAGACGTGTCCAACACTTCAGGAAGACATGTCAGAGCAAGTTCAGGCATTTGGGATAATGCATGTCCACCTCAAAGGAGATATGATCCCTACTCAAATACTTATAATTCGGGGTGGAGAGATAACCCCAATTTCAATTATAGTGGCCGACAAACCCAAGCTCTATACAGGCCTCATAGCCACAGCATCAACAACTAATTCAGCCATAGATGTTGAATAATCCAATTCTTAGTGCAAACTCATCTCTAGAGGATATAGTGAAGACAATAGCTAATTCAACTGTTGAATTTCAACAAGGAATGACACAATTTTAGCAGGAAATAACACAATTTAAGCAAGAAATGATACAATTTAAGCGCGAGATGGTACAATTCCAACGTTCGATCCATGAAAGCATTCAAGGTTTGGAAACTCAAATAGGTCAGTTGGTCATAACAATAGCTGATTCAAGAGTTCAGATTGTTAAAAAGAAAATTACCTTTTTAGCCCATTGTTAATCCACGAGAAAATGCAAATGTTGTGACTTTAAGAAGTGAAAAGCAGATAGTCATTGGATAATTGAATTTACAATCAAAGGCTAAGTGAATTCAGTTGAATGAAGAAATCGAGGTTCCAAGAACAAACAACAAAGGAAAGATTGAGGGTTGTAAACCTAACATCATTTTTTCATCACCCCTTCCAAGTAGATTGGCAAAGTCTAACAAAGATATGAAGGAGCAGGAAGTTCTTGATGTTTTTGTAAGTGTGAAATTGAACATCCCATTACTTGAGGCTCTTAAACAAATTTCAAGGTATACAAAATTCCTCAATGAGTTGTGTACAATAAAGACAAAACTCAAGGAGAATGAAAATGTGACTATCAATGAAAATGCCTCTGCCATTATCCAAAAGAAGTTGGCCTTGAAGTGCAAGGACCCAAATATGTTTATAATTCCTTGAGCTTTTGGTAATGCTCGAATTAAACAAGTTATGTTAGACCTAGAGGCATCTATCAATGTCATGCCTTTGTTAATGTATTATTCTTTGAATTTGGGTCCTTTAAAGGAGACTGGAGTTATCATTCAGTTGGTAGACAAATCTAATGCATACCCGGAAGGGGTGTTAAAATATGTTCTTGTGGAGGTGGAAGGGATGACAAATCATCAATCCAACACCTATATTACTTGAAAAACTTTTTGAAAATTGCCAAGATAAAAATTGATGTTTCTAATTGTACAGTAACCATAAAATTTGATAGTGAGATCGTGAAATTTAATATTTTTGACACCATGAAATATCCTGCTAATTGTCATTCTGTTTCTCTATTAACATTATAGATGACTTATCTCAGCAAGTTTTTGATGTCAGTGGAAAAGATGTATTAGAAGTGATTATTAATAATCATTTATGGAGTAGTAGTAGTGAGTGTTACACAGCTAAATTATGAAATTGACGAGTGTATCAGTACTTTGTTCTTTTTACCTCCAATGTTAAATCAGTATGATGTCAAGCAGTTAGATATGGACTCTTACCCAAGATTGTTACCTTTTGTGATGTAGGTACTAGTGTTAGAGTTTAAGTCCCTTTCAATCCATCTCAAATGTTTATTTGGAAGAAAGTGAAATATTGCCAGTGATTATATCTAACACATTGACAAGTGTGCAGGAAGAAAAACTATTTCGAGTGTTACGAAATCATAAAACAGCAATTGAATGGACAGTTGCTAATATAAAGGAGATCAGTCCATCTATTTATATGCACAAGATTTTGCTAGAAGAGGGATCAAAACTGGTGTGTGAAACTCAGAGAAGATTTAATCCTGCAATGATGTAGATAGTGAAGAATGAAATGGTTAAATTATTATGTGTTGAAATAATATATCCAATATCCAATAGCAAGTGGGTGAGTCCAGTACAGGCGATACTCAATAAAATTGGAATGACAGTTGATGTGACACGAACTCCATCGAAGACGAAACCAGCGAATCAATTTGCCCCGGATCTAGACAACTAGCACGAAGGTTTGACAGTAGAAAAACTTGGCTCTAATTAATTCTAGAAGTTACGAATAATATTGATACTATCTCAACCCGTAACCAATCGAATTAATGAACCAAATTTGTAGTAGAGGAACGCCACAATCAAGGAGGTACTTGATTGATAAGTTCGAATCGAATAACTTAAGAAAACTCTCAAGTATTCAAAGGAGGTTCTCTTGGACAAGAGAAAGTGAAAACTCACAAGTTTGTTGTAAAAATCTGATTAACTAAAATATTGGAAAAGACTAGGCTATTTAAAGCCTTACAATGACTCAAAGTTAAAGTTATTTGGACTTAATTAAACCCTAAACTATTGACTAGAGTTTCGGCCAAACTAAGGACATGGTTGGCCGAATTATTAAGCTAAAATAATGACTAGGGTTTGGCCATAATAATGACAATGTTGGCCGAATTTATTAAGCTGAAATTAGTAACCAAATCAGCAAGGTGAGTGACAAATAAACCCTTGCTTAACACACGACTAAGGCAACAAGCAAAACTATCCAAATGACTAACTAGTTAATCAACTAATCTTTTTCACCCGACTCTTCAACTTGGAGCAAAGTGTAAAGTGTTGAATCTACATTATCCAATCCTTCAATGATCCTCAAATAATTCCCAACTCGATCTTGAATTGTACACACAAGAGCTTGAAGTGATTCTCTCATTTTCTTGCACGAGCTCTTGTAATTGGACCACTTGGAACTTATATAACTGGATCATTTGTAACTTGGTCACCCTTGATCACTTGTGCCCCTTTATCATTCCCCTCCTCTTGAAGGCGATTTGTCCCCAAATCAAGCTCGTCATCTGCATAAAAAGGGCTTAAGTCAGCAACATTAAATGTAGCATGTACTCCACACTCACCTGGGAGATCAAGTTTGTAAGCATTGTCATTACTTCGTTCCATCACTTGAAATGGACCATTGCCCCTTGGAAGGAGTTTATTGCACCTTTGGACTGGAAAACGCTCCTTCCTCATGTGTATCTAAATACAATCACTTGGTTTGAATACTAACTTGCGACGTCCTTTGTTTGCACTTTGTACATATTGGAGAGTTCGGTTTTCGATCTTAGCTCGAACTTTAGCATGCAACTCTCGCATAAAATCAGCTTTTTTCTTACCATTCAAATTAACTCTCTCATAAACAGGTAAAGGGGATAAGTCCAATGGTGTGAGAGGTTAAAACCATAAACAACTTCAACTTCAAAAGGTGAATATTGTGTAGTAGTATGCACAGTGCAATTATAAGCAAACTCAACATGAGGCATGCAATCTTTCCAAGTTTTAATGTTCTTTTTAATTATCACTCGCAACAAAGCAGACAAAGTTCTATCAGTTTGTGGGTGACTAGAAATAGAAAAGAGCAATTTAGTTCCTAGTTTACATCACAAAGTTTTTCAAAAGTAGTTAAGGAACTTTACATCTCTATGAAAGACAATGGTGAGAGACATTCCATGCAAACGAACTATTTCTTTAAAGAACAAGTCAGTCACATGTTTAGCATCATCAGTTTTATGACAAGGGATAAAATGTGTCATCTTAGAGAAACGGTCAACTACAACATAAATTGAATCATGACCCTTTCTAGTCCTAGGCAGTCTAAGCACAAAATCTATAGATAAGTCAACCCAAGATTCATATGGAATGGGTAAAGGAGTGTAAAGACTATAAGAGTTTACCTTGGATTTCGCATGATGGCAAGTGACGCACCTTTCTATATGTCGTTCTACATCCCTTTTCATTCGAAGCCAAAAGAAATGCTCTTGGAGAACTGATAATGTTTTAGCAATGCCGAAATGACCCATAAGTCCTCCTCCATATGTCTCACGACCCAATAGTGTACGCAATGAGCTCGTTGGAATGCACAGCTTATCCTTATAATACAAGAATCCCTGTGATATGAAATAATGCTCACAAGTGTGTCGTGGCAAAGAAGTGAAAATCTCACCAAAATCTAGGTTAGTTGCATAAAGATCTTTAATGAATTCAAAATCTAGCAACTTAGCATCTAAAGTAGTGATAAGTGTGTATCTTCTAGAAAGAGCATCAACAACTACATTAGTCTTACCTGCTTTGTACTTGATCACAAATGCAAAGCTATCAATGAAGGCTATCCACCTCGCATGTCGCTTGCTTAACTTAGTTTGAGACTTGATGTGTTTGAGCGACTCATGATCGGTATGCAAAATGAACTCTCGAGATCGAAGGTAGTGCTGCCATGTCTGGAGAGCTCGAACTAAGGCCATCAACTCTTTGTCAACTGGATGACCTTCTTGGAGTACAACAACCCCAATACCTATACCAAAAGTATCACACTCAACTTCAAAAGTCTTATCAAAGTTAGGTAAACTTAGAACATGTGCATGTGTGAGCTTATGTTTAAGTAATTGGAAGGACTTAGCTTGTTCATCTCCCCAGTGAAATGGCACGTTTTCTTGACTATTGATGTAAGTGGTGCAACAATTGTGTTAAAGTCCTTGACGAAGCATCGGTAGAAGTTTGCCAAGCCATGGTCTTACCTCACTTACATTAGTAGGTGTTGGCCATTCACTTATAGCCTTCACTTTTACTTGGTCAACTTGTATACTATGTTCACTTACAACATAGCCTAGAAATACAAGTTGATTAGTGTAAAAAGTGCATTTCTTGTGGTTGGCGTAGAGCCTTTCCCTTCGAAGCACATCCAAGACAGATTGCAAATGTATCACATGCTCAGCTAAACTCTTGCTATAAATTAAGATATTATCAAAGTAAACTACCACACATTTACCACTGAAGGGACACAAAATATGGTTCATTAATCTCATAAAAGTATTAGGTGTATTAGTCAAGTCAAAAGGCATGACCAACCATTGATATAGCCTATGTTTAGTTTTAAAAGCAGTTTTCCATTCATCTCCATCTTTCATGCGAATTTGGTGGTAACCATTTTTCAGATCAATTTTAGTGAAAATAATAGCACCATGTAATTCATTAAGCATGTCATCTAAACGCGGTATGGGATGACGATATTTTACCGTTATGGCGTTAGTTGCTCTACAATCAGTGCACATCCTCTATCCTCTATCTTTCTTTGGCACTAATAGGACAGATACTGCACAAGGACTTAGACTCTTATGAATCCATCCTTTGCCAAGTAGCTCCTCTACTTGTCTCTGTTGCTCCTTGATTTCCTCAGGATTAGTCCTATATGACGCCTTATTTGGCAATGAAGCCCCACGAATGAAATCAATTTGATGTTCAATTCCTCTTAAAAGTGGCAATCCATTAGGCATATCTTCAGGAAACACACCATGATACTCCTGCAAAAGGTTAGTGACAACACTAGGCAAAGAAGCATCAAGTTTGTTAGTGAGTAAAACTTCTTTACAAATCAAGATAAGCAAAATTTGTTTAGAATATAAAGCTTGTCTCACATTTTAACCCTAGCAATCATGCTGTTTTTCCTTTTTTTTTTTTAACTCAATGGACGAGCTAGTACCCTTGTTTTCCCTTAAATTAGTCTCAGCCATCTCCCCAACCGTCCCCTTTGAGTTTTGCCTTTTATTAGTAGCATGCATGTCGTACTTCTTTTGTAAACTAGTTTGATCCTCAAACTCTTGTTGTGATGTAAGAGGTGCAAGTGTGATCTTTTTACCACAATGTAAGAAAGAGTATTTATTAAAAAATTCATCAAAAGTGACTCTTTTATCAAATTTGTGAGGACTTGCAACATCCTAATATTTTTCTTAAAAATGCCCTTTTATTTGGAAATTGTTCATTTAATATGGTCCTACTATCCAATCATCCCACAATAAGTGCAAATGAACCTAAAAAGTGGGGTTTCACTTTTCGTTTTCAAGAAAGAGCGAATTAGGGTTTTCACATTTTTTCGTAGTGTGACTATTCGGTACCGAGTGAGGATCAAATTTGGTAGCTAAGAGTGACTTTTGGATGAGGAAATATTATATGATTAGAAGTGATAATAATAAGTTAGTAAATTATAAGTTAAAACCCTAGTACGTGCGAGTTACGGAAAACGGTGAGAGCCCGATATTTTTTATTTTCTAGCCCTTATTTTTATTCTGTGTCTACATTTTCTATACTTTCCTTTATTATATTAATTTTCTAGCTATTTTTATAAGGGAATTAGGTTCTAAGACATTTTTCTAGTATAAATTAGTTCATGTGACGTTAGTAGTGCATATTGGGCGTGGGACCCGCTAGTACGGTTAGTGCGGTAAAATTTTAACGACTAGAAGGAATTTTGTGCAAAAGAAATTATGTGACAAAAGGTGTTGAGAGATGATTGGAGGAGTAATAGATATTTGAGTGCTTAAGAGAGAGAATTAGAGAGACTTTCCTTGGATTTGTGCCACTTGTCAAGCACCAAGCCAATCTTGACCAAGACCATGACCAAGATTAAGCTTAAAACTTATCCAACTCAAGTCAATCACCATTTTCTTCCTTTGCCTTCCATGATGGACGAAATTTGGGAGGAGAAAAGAGAGGGAGAGCTTCAAGTTCCATCTTAGATTTTACCTTGTTTGAGTTGAAACCACAAAAACTAAACCGATTAAACTTGCAATAAGGTGACAAGGAAGCTTTGGGTGGAGTGATTTTTGCATGGGCAGCCTTGTTCTTGTGTATTTCCTTGAGGTTTGAAGGTATTAAACTAAGAAACTCTTCTTCTACCTCTTATATTGTATTTTATTGATAGATGACCTGAATCTTAGAAGTTTTATGGATGAAAACCTAGATTGGTAAAGGTTGATGGAATTTCAACCTAGGGTTTCATTTTTTTCCCCAATTCTGTTGGTACTGTTACACCTAGTTAGAGGCGGATTTGGCCTTAGTACAAAACATAAAAGTTGTATAGAATGATATTTTATAGTTGTCTGCAAAATTTCAACTCAATCGGAGCAACGTAGCCTGTGAAAAGACCAAACTACCCCTGCTGCCCTGTTTCTGTCCGAACTTGGTAATCAGCTTTGGTAATTGGTTACTTTGTTTGGGAATGCTTCTGATTTGGTTGTTGATGTCTTCTTAAGAATTGTAGCCTTGTATCTTAGCTTTCGGATGGCTTTGGAATTACCTGAATTGGAGTTGTGTGTGCTGAGATATGAGTGAATAAAGCAGGACTGCTAGTTGATTTCTGCAGTGAATTTCGAACTGGAAAATCTGGAGTTGTTTTGGTAAATTTGGCCTAGTTAGGGTGAGAACTGGGCTGAGTGATCTTCATAAAAGTTGTAGCCTCTTAAGTCCTAAATATGCCTGCAAAATTTCAGGTCAAACGGATCAGTGTATCCCGAGTTATAGCCAAAACACTTGCACCTGTTTTGTACACTAGATTGTGTTACGTTTTTGAATTTTGCTTCTGACCATGCTCTGTCCGTTTTGATAACGTGCGAACTGGGTGTTGATTCCTTCATAAGAAATGTATATATTGGTTTTAGCTTCGAAACGGTATAAAGTTCATTCCAATCCGAGTACCATAGCTCCAGTTATGACCAAAACAAGATCGGTTGTCAGAACTGCCTTCGAATTTGGACAGTTCTGACAGGGATGTTTGGACCCGTTTTTCCCCATGCTCTGTGTTGATTCAGCCTTTGGTCCAAACATGAAAGTTATAGTCTTAGGAATGAGCTTTCTAACGCCTCTAGAATTTCTTGATTCCGATTTCTAAGTCGTGAGTTACGGTCTTTCAAACAGGGCCTGTTTGGTAACCCGAAATGAAATGGCTGGAACTATTTTGTGTATTTTTGACCAATACCTATTGAGATCTGGGTTGAGATGTCTAAATAAAAGTTGTAGACCTTCCTCGTAGCTTCAAAACAGTGTCTCACCCACCTTGATCCGACATTCCTAGCCTAACTTTGATCAAAACGGTTTGGGATGGCAAATCTGGCCGTTTCCGTTTCCGTTTCCGTGTCCGTCTCCATTTCCGTGTGCCGTTTCCGCACTTGCATGTGCCAATTTTGCCGTTTTACTTGAGTTAT